TCAATCTATAGGTTACCTTCCCGTAGGGTCAGGAGGAATACCAGCGAGGGTTTGAGGTGGCATGTTTCAGAGAGAATTTATTAGTGCTTGCAGGCAGATAGAAAAGCTCGTAGTGACCATATAAATAGGATGGAGACCTGCAGATCAACAAGACTGCACATTCCACTTGCACGGCTCTAGACAGACAAACATCTCTTCTATGAGAAATGTTCCTTTCCTGCACGTAGCTAACAGGGGCATTACTGGCAGAGATATCTAAAAGGGTCAAGCAGAGGACATCACCAAACACAAACATTGCAGAAAACCCCATGGGTGATGCTTCTTGTAGCAAGGGCACAACTAAACTCCAGGAAAGCGGCGTAGGCGAGGAGGCTGTGTGTGTTGTCAACGTCTAGTGATCCATCTGGTGGCTTGTTTTTGGCTTGTGTGTGTCCTGGCATGGGACCCTGCACTTCACAGCATCTTCTTCTTGTTTAGCTAGACATGTGAAATTACAGTAAGGGCTTCACTTATGCCCCACGGACAAAGGATGAGAGTACCACACACACACACACACACACACACACACACACACACACACACACTGAGCACATTCTCTAAACGAGTAATTGCTGGCCTCAACAAAATATCAACACGAGGAACAGTGAGAGTGGGAAAGCTCAAAACCCTGCTTATTCCTAAGCCACAGGTGCTGAGCGCTGCTGTCTTGCTGTGTTCAGGGGCTATGGCGACCAGACGCTGCGCTCCTCTGCCCAGCCGCCCCAAGCTGATGTCGCTGTGTTGTTTTGTGCCACTGTCACACTTGGAACTACTAGTTTGAAGTAACACTTTTCCCGTTCCTCTCCAGTCCCCTTTAATTACATGTTTCTATTCCTAGTAACCTAGAAAACATGAACCAAACCAGCCAAAAGCTACAACTAGTCATTTGTATAGTTTGCTCGTTTTGAACACCGAGATCCTGCTAAGAGCAATGGACTTGGCCCTTCCACTTCCTCATCCTCCCAAGCCATAATGCTACCCCAAATTCCAGGCAGCTCTTAGAAATTCATATGGTTCCCAATGCAAGATTTCTCATTCAAAAACTTATGGAATAAATTTCAGAAAACTCCCTCTACCTTCTCTCTCAGATGCCTTCTCTCCTAAACCACCAGGTTGAAGGTATTAGGCCAGGTGATGGATTTTGCTCTTGCTAACACTGGGTGCAGTCAGGCATTTAAGTACTCCAGACTTTTGTCTTTTCATCTACGGAAGGCGATAAGAATGAAGCAACACAGAGGCAAACAGGCTGCACCCCTCCAGGCAGGTGGAAGAGTCTGGAATCCTGAGACAGTGGGCAGCCTTTGGGAGTCAGCGAACTGCCTGATATAAGCAAAATGCTCCCCTCTGACCCTGAGCCAAAAAAGGCCTCACATTTTTTATGAGTCACTTAAGAACGTTGTACTCCAGTCAATGGCTCCATACCCATGAGTGTAAGGGCAGTGCAAACTGGACTCTGGATTATTAAAAAGAATAAAAAAAAAAGGATGGGAAGTTGTGCTTGGGTGGGCAGCTGGAGGGATCTGAGAGGAGTTAGGAGGGAGTGGGGATTTCAAAGCATCGATAAAATGTTGCATTAAAAAAGGTACTTTGTGATCAAAACCTAGGCAAGATCAAGGTAGTGAAATTTGATGTAGATGGGGGAGGGACTCATGAAGTCCAGCCTCCGGATGAGATGTTTTCACTGTTGACAGTCGCTGGGGGAGGGAGGCTCACCCTTCCGGGGAAGTGGCTCTTGTTAGGTTGCCCATGCTGCAGTGGCTGGCCTACACCTGTGCACTTAAGAATAGCACGAATTAGCGGCCAAGGAAAGAGGATACGGTGTTGCGGGGAGAATGTGATGGGGCGGGTGGTGGTGGGGAGATCTGGAAGGAACTGGAGAGTAAGTGAGGAGTTCGTATGATTAAAAATGCATTATGGACATGCGTGACATTCTCGAAGAAGAATAATTGTAGAAAGAACCCCGTGATCATCCCAAACTAAGTGCGTTATCTCAGGGACTTGGGATGGTGGTGTCTGCATTTTCCAGTATTCGTCTAAAGTTTGGAGCTGTTAAGTTACAGACTTTGAACTGGAGGATTTTCCAAGTTTTCATGTAAACTTGGTGTGTAAACAGTCCCTAGTAAGCTCAGTTTATGAACTTCTAGTCAACCAGCTCAACGGTTAGCTTCTAATTAATTATTAAAGAATGGTCATTCTGCTACTTTGGAGCTTTGCTCTATTTGTAGGTCTGATAATATCTTTAACATTTTGCTTTTGTTGTGCATGTATACATGGTGTATGTGGGCATGCATGTCATGAATGCATGTGGAGGTCTGAGGATAACTTTGTGGGGTTTGTTCTCTCTTGCTACCTTATGTGGGATCTGAGAATCTCAGGTTTTCAGGCTGTGTGTAGAATACCTTAACCTCTGAACCATCTTTCCCTGCCAATATATTTTTAATTGAGTAAGTAAATACATAGGCCATGTTAACATTCTTGTTTCCTCGAGAATAAATAAATGAGTAATACATCTAAACTCATGTGTCTGTACACCTAAAAGAACCAATTTTGCTATCTGTGAGTTACACTCAGTAAAACTGCCTTTAAGAAAAAGGAGGAGAAATGAGCAATCAAAATGTCAAAAAAAAAAAAAAAACCTCCTTATAAACCACACAAGAAGACTGAGATGTTTCCATTCGATATGACATTGGGGATTTTACGGGGAGCAGGGGCTGTAGGCCTGGGGAGGCAGAAGCCAGAATGCTAAGGGTTGAGACACGGGTCAACCAATGATTGATGGTTGCCTCCCAGTCTCTATTTTTCTCCTTTCCTGGGAGTACAAACTCTCTAATTTTGGCTGTGTTCTTGGCTGTGCCGAATGAGGTCTGCTTTGCCCAGTCTCTCTGAAAACTTAATTGTGAAACCATGTGACTGAACTGTGGACAAAGAGGTTTGAATGGAAGACTCCTGAGAGCCTTGCTGGGAGGCAGCTGGCGCACATCCTTGGCCTTTCTTTGCTCCTCCCCCTTTGCGAGGGTTGAAACAGAGACTTGAAGGCCAGAACTGCTGAGGCCTAGAGGGGACTATGGGATGATTTCGGGAAGGAAGTCCACATAGGACGACAAAAAGCGAAGGATCCTGGGTCTTTTAGCTTTTTGAAAACACTTGGGAGGTTAGCCCAAAACTGCTTATCTCTGAATTTTTAAGAGAGGAAGACAACGGTGATAGGAGATGTCTCAGCTGGTAAAGTATTTCCACGCAAGCATGAGAGCTAGCGTCTGGATCCCCAGCAGCCACGTAAAGAAAGCTGATGGAACCGCACTGCTTTTCAACTCCAGTGTTGGGAAAGCAGAGGAGCTGATTTTTGGAGCTGTCTGGCCAGCCAGCCTCACCAATCAGTGAACTTCAGGGTTAGGGAGATCCTGCCTCAAAAAAATTAAGTGGGGAGTAACTAAGGGAAATACCCAGAATCAACTTCTGGCCTCTACAAGCATGTTGGCGAGCGCATGCGGGCGCGTGCGTGTACACACACACACACACACACACACACACACACACACACACACATACACATTTGGATTAGAAAACCAATAGTTTTTCAGTTTAAATCTCCTCGGTGCTCAAACTTGCACCAAACCTGTGACAAGGAGGAGACCGGAAAGTGGTGGGCGCCCAGCTGGTGAATACGGAGAGCAATGGAGGGGAAGTGTCAAGGCAGGATAGCAGTTGGGAAGCCATTCGGGTGATAAAAGACTTTGATAATTGTCAGACTTCAGAGTCTCTGTGGCTTCAAGGAGACAGAGAATCTACGTGGAAAGAAACTCCACGAACAGTCCCTGGCTCTGCCTTTCCGACTCACTCACCAGAGGGAAGGCAGGAGCCACCATTGCAGTTACATCTCAACCCTGGTTTCCTTGTCCTTATGATGGGTGCGGTTCTTTGCAACCTACAGACCTCTCTTGATGCTGGCTCCTGCTGACTGCCTGTCTGTGTCCTCTGACCTTTCCACTCTGGCAGAGACTTTCCTTGGCACCTGGCCAGGCAGGTCACTCAACCTTTTTTGTTTGTTTTTGAGGCAGAGTCTTATCTCACACTGTAGCCCAGGCTAACCTTGAGAACTTGCCGATCTTCCTTCCCTGCCTACCCAGTCTGGGTTGGGATTACAGGGGTGCCTACCACAACACACAGCTAGACCTTTTAAAAGATGTAAATTGCCAAGAAAATCACTCAGAAGAAAAAGAAAATCAATGATTTTTGAATTATTCACAGAGTTCTGCAAATCTCCCAGATTAACCTGAGATTATCAGACAGAGCATGCTCTGATTAAAAAATTATTATGCACCTGTGTACATGTTTGTGTGTGTATCTGTGGGCTGATGGGTGCAGTGGACATGTGAACACCGAGGACGACTTTATGAAATTACTACTCTCCTTGTACCTTGATCGAACTCAGGTCGCCAGGCTTGCATGACAAGCACCCTTACTCACTGAGTCATCCCTCTGACCTTATTTATTTGTTTGTTTGTTTGTTTAATAGTAACATCTTCAGCCATGTTTTTTCTTTCTGGGCACTGTCTTTCTCCTTCAGCCTGGAGCATGGCAGAGATGGATGACTTTGCCTGGTCAGCACCCCGCAGTCCCTCTAATAGATGGATCAGGTAATACATGGAGACGCTGAAGCTTGTCGCACCTGTTCATTGCAGTGGGCGAGGAGCCTGCTGGTAGAGAACTCTTCCGAGTGGGCACACAGCAGGGAATTCATGACTCCGGGGAGCTTATTACCACAGGGTTGGGCTGAGGTAACTTGGAAAATCAGCTTCAAGAAAAACAGGCCAGGGATATCTGAAGAATATCTTCCCGACAGGCAGGACATCGGAGAATATGGAGTGACACCGAGCAGGGCGTGGGATCGCCAAGAGGAAACACCGCATGAACTTGTGGCAGCGCAGCTGGAGTTTTCCTGGTACCTCCCGCAGACACAGGCTGCGCTGGCATAATGGCTTTTCGCAGTCCCAGACAAGCCCCGCTGATGTCAAGGCTTGCTATTTTGCAGAGGCCAGAAGCCTCCTGCAACTTCTAGGCGGCGACAACTGCTACCTTGCCAAGGACTCCATCGTTTCCCTACGCCCCCTAGGACGTGCCACCCGTCGCCACCGCCCCTCGCCCCCTCCCACGCTTCTCCCGGAGCTCTGCGCGGCGCCGCCGTGGGTCCCAGGGGAGTCTGGAGCACACCTGCAGCATCGGGCGCCCAGGGGACCAGGACGCGGGGTAGCCGCCTCACCCGGCGCACGGCTGGTGGCGCGCTCCCTTCCGGATCCCCTTAAGTGAAGAGGCTCGGTCTAGCACCCGGCGAATAACGTTATCCAATTGCTTCCCGTTTTACTCGCAGGCTGGGAGCCGCGAGAGCCAGAGCATTCCCCTCGCAGTGCTCCAGGGGAGGAGGGAGGCGGGCGGGGACCGGGGGACGGCTGGGCTGCTCCACCTTGCAAGAGGCCAGAGCACCCCGGGCAGAGGCCAGCAGCGACTGTAGCCCCGCAGCAGTGCACCGGGCCGCCCGGATTCCCGCTATGGAGTGAGTATCCCCGCGCAGCGCGTAGCTCGGTGCCTCCCTGGGCATGTTGCTATGGTGACCGATCCCCGCTCATCTCTGTCCAGTCTGGGTGTTTAATTTCAGTCCAGTGTGTTCCTCTTGCTGTTTCTATAGCAGCCGCTGCAGAGGGGGTATCACAGCCCCGAGCTGCAGGGATTTGTGCCACTGCCTTGGGGGCACATGGGGTATCATGTTGCTAAGGAGCCTGACCTGTTTTAAGCTTCTCTGGGTCCTTGCTCCCGACCTTGCGCTTCTTGGGGAGTTGGCTGCGATAGCCATTACTTCCGATTCCTAACGATGTCAGCATTATTGGACTGCAGTTAAGAGGCATGTGTGTGTGTGCGTATAGGGGGGTGTCACTGCGGATCCGAAGCAAAGGTGATTCCATAAGAATGTGATAGAGGGATGTTGAGAGATATGAGCCAGACTGGCTACTAAAAGCCACCGGAGGACCCAAAATAATTGATTTGCTCCTGGGGTAATCGGAGAAATGAGACAGAAATGTCCTAGCAGCGGTCTGAGGTTCAATGACCATCTTGGGTATCACCCGCATTTCATGGGGTGGGGGAGTGGGGGAAAAGATGGCATGGAGACAACAGAGGCGGTAACCAGAAAAAGACACAATGAGGTCTCCGGGTGTGGACCCTGACTAGGTTTGCGCGTTTCTTTCTACCTTCCCAGTCGCTCTCCCAGGCTGATATTGCAGCAAGGGCCCTGTGACAGGCGTCAGCCTGCCGTTCCAAGAAAGCCAGCAATTACATCTTTGCTCACTTGATCATCTCCCCCCCCCCCCTTCCCACGGATACTCACTGACTTTGAGGTCGTATGAAATCATATTTCAGGTAGGAGATAATGTCATGCTTCCAGATACAAGGATCTCCATGCCAAACCCTAAGACTCTGGATTCAGCTTTTATCCTTCGGCATAACCAATTGTGTAGATGCAATTTAATCCTCACAGAGTGGAAAGGAGAAGCGGAGATGATGTGGCACATTAGGAGTGAGGGGTTGTAGGAAATTATTCTTCGGTTGGCAACAGCATTGTTGCGTTCCCGTGCCAGTGTTTTAATGGCTGTGAGCCTCAGTTTCCCCAATCACAATCAGGAAAAAGCCATCCCTTATTATTTAGAGTTACTGAGATCAGATAATATTCGCTTCTCTTCTGAAGGGCTTTATAAATTGTAAAATCAAATAGAGGAATTGAACATTAATGGCTGGTCTCCAGAGTCAGGTTGTCTAGGACTGAGGCCTTTGACACATTGCTGAACAATGTCAATCTCTCTGGGTTTCATTGTCCCCTTCTTGAAAATGGAACAATAGTAGTAGTTCTTTGCTTTGAGTATAAATTAAGCAATTGATATACCTATATAATTACATATGTGTTAATACACATGAATTTTAGGACAGACCCAGAGCAAAGTATGCTTGCTAAACATCACACAGTGAGTGTCTGTAAGTGTAAATACACTTAGTATTACTCTTGTAGTCCCCAGCCTTCTCTGTTGACAGTTTATGGAGTATTAGATTGGTAGAAAACACGTTTTTGGACAGTTTTCATAACTTAAAATATTCATTTACTTATTTCATGTGTGCACATGCTTCAACATGGGCATGGAGGTCGGAGGACAGCTTGTGAGGGTTGGTTCTCTCCTCCCACTGTGTGGATCCCGGGGCATTAGGTTTGGTAGCCAGTGCCTTTATTAGCTATGCTAGCTCTCCAGCCCACAGATAATATACACAGAAATACAATGTCCTAAGGGCAACGGAACCTACTGCAGCCCCCATGACGACATTGTAGGAGTGTGGACTTGGGCCAGCTCCTGGTACTCAGTACCATTACGGGGCACCTTGGCCTCTGAGTGTTCATCCCCTTTGGTCATATTCCTCACTATGGAGACTGCTCTTGACCAGGGATAGAATGCTGACCTGGTCGTCCCATAGCGCAGGGTTGATGGCAGACTGTCTTTATTTCGAGGATAAGGTACGGTGATTTCATCCCCACACTAATGTGTCTCTCCTAGACTTAGCATTTGGTCTTCATAACTGTAGCACAGAGCCTCAGGACTTCACACTGTTGACTCCTGGTCTTCGCCGTGGTTGGTACCAGGTGTGCCTACCTCATACCTCTCTCTCTCTGTCTCTCTGTCTCTCTCTCTCTCCTTTTGGGTATGCTACATGTTCTTCTACTCTGGTTAGCCTGACCTTGGCTTTTTCACCCCATGCAACATTTGAAAGTGCTCCGTGAACCTGCCTAATTTTCAGCTGTCTTTCTGCCACACTTCTGTCACTTCCTTAATGTAATTAGTTTCCCACTCTTTTCTCTTCTTCACAATACTACATTTTCTGTCCATCCGTGGGCCTAACAACATTTCTCAAATGTCGAGCCTTGCACTTCTGCCAATCCGATCTCACCCCCTCATCTCATCCCAGGTACCCAGGCTGCTTTGAATATGAGTGAGATATAGTTTTAGTTCCCTTCACTTATTGTGTCCAACTTGCATTTGTGAAAAAATTAGTTAAAAGAAGGAATGAATTTGAATTAACTTTCCCATTTAATCAATGGGTATTTGTTGAGATTAGCAGTGGCTGATGAAACAGTCATAATTCTCATAGCATGGAGTTCAAAATCTAATAAGAGCAGATGCTAGCCCACTAAGCATAGGAGCCGTGCGATGCTAACCCAGTAAGCACAGGAGCCGTGCAATGCTAACTCAGTAAACCCAAGGGCCATGAGATGCAAGGTGCAACACACACTGTGAGAAGAAAGGACACAGAGGAAATGACAGGAAGAGTAAGGGCATTGGATCAACGTGTTAGAGAAGCCTCCTTGAGAAGCTGTTACTTAACGTGAGATCTAACGGATGAGTTAGGGTTGCCGAGTAGCACATGAAGGGAAGAAACAGCTCTAGCTGTGATGGCAGCGTGTGTGAAGGCCTGGAGGAGAGCTCACCAGGCTGGCGAAGGAAAGGTAGTGTGCCTGGAGCTTTAAAGACGGAGCAGAGGTGGTCCAGGGATGAGGCTGGAGAATGTGTGTGTGTGTATATGAGTGTACAAGAGTGTGAGCATGTGAGTGCATGTGAGGGTGTATGTGTATGTGAGTGTATATGAGTACATGAGAGTATAAGCATGTGTGTTAGTGTATAAGTGAACATGTGAGTGTGTGAATGCACATGTGAGAGTGTGTGTGAGGATGAGTGTGGTTGTGAGTGTATATGAGTGCATAAGAGTGTGAGCATGTGTGTCAGTGTGTGTGTGTGTGTGTGAGTCTATGTGAGCATGCGAGTGTGTGAATGCTTGTGTGAGAGTGTGTGTGAGCATTGTGTGTGTGGATGTGAGTGTGAGTGTATATGAATGTATGACGTGTGAGCATATGTGTGTGAGTCTGTGTGAGCATGTGAGTGTGTGAATGCATGTGTGAGAGCGTGTGAGTATGTGTGAATGTATATATGGGTGTGTTTCTCTTCTATTGTGATTAAAAATATGCTGACCAAAATGACTTACGTGAGAAATGGCTGATTTGGGCGTGTAGTTTCAGCAGGGGATAAGTCTATCATGCCGAGAAGGTGTGAGGTCAGTCTGTCACTTTGAGTCTCCAACTAGAAGTACAGCAGCTTGGGCCAGGGTGTAAATCTTCAAAGCCTGCATCGTTGATGTAATCCTTCCAACAAGGTTCCGCCTCCCAAAGGTTCCATGACCTTCCCAAATAGTGCCACCACCTGGTGACCAAGTGTCCAAACACATGAGCTGGTAAGGGGCGTTAACGTTTAAACCACATCAGGGAAGGTCACAAAGAAGTTAATACTTCACGAGGACCTTGAGGACTTCGGATTTCATCACGAGTGTCTCAGAGGGTCGCTGAAGACGATGATAAAAACATCAAGTCTAAAGATTATATAAAACCCCTCAACTGTTTTTTTCCCTTTCTCTTCTGAAAGTACTTAAAACAGGCGACTTAGAAACTGTCCTAGCCAAGTCTTTGGAAGCTGTAAGTGTCCGCCACAGGGAAGGGGACAATCAATACAGCTGTCTGTGTTTCAGAATTGATAATCTTGGACAAACCAAGGTTGTCAAACAAAATCCAAGTATATGCAATGAAAAGGAAGTACATTTATTCGTGAACATTGTTGGCTTTGATCAAATAAGAGCTTCTTAATTTGAATAAGGAAAGACTTGGTGGTAACTAAGCACCGAGGGCCGCTAACCACTCAGTTTAGAATATTCCTTGCTGGAGTACTCTCTTCAGGGTGTGTGGATCTGAGAAGCTCCATTATGGCCAATCAGAGGCAGGGATGGTGTGGCCTGTGCAGAGCCGGGGCTCGGCTACGGTGCGGTGTGTATCAGCACAGCAGCGTTGGCTGTGGCTCTCAGTGGCTTGAGTAGGAGCTGGATGTGGCTGGGAGAACACACGCCCACCTCCTAGTCTGATGACACTCGTGAAGCTTTGCCTCACACTTCTCTGGAGCAGCCTACAAAACAGCGTGGGTTCAGAAAGGCGTGAAGAAACATAACGTGGGAATTTCAAGCTCTTGCCATCCCTGCAAACTCCAGGGCTCTAAGCCCGTGGCCGCCTCAAAGCCCAACTGATGTTCCCACCCACCAGGGCAGAGGCCTGCTTTTCACATGGCCTGTGCCGCAAGTTGAAACCACTCAGAGGAGATCATAAAACGGCTGAACTTGGGGTGGGGGAGGCTTGTGGACTGAGGCCATTCTTATTCTTGCCAAGGCTGACCAAGAACCCACTGGCCTTGGACCCACGATTCTCCTGCTCCCACCTCTGGAGCTCTGTAACCACAATCGGGCACCACCACATTTGTCAGGGTTTGCAAATGAACAAATCCAGGCCCAGTAAGGTTTAAGTGTGGTGGGGACGTGGAACCCCAAGTTCAGGCCCAGCATCCACGCCTTCATTCATTGATGCAGACATTGATTTATTTCACAAACTTGGGCTTAATATTGTCTCCGAGCCAGTGCTGTGAGAGGTAA